ACTGCCGCCGGAGACGGCCGGTCGGTGAGGCTTGGCGTCCGACCCCGGCCGGTCTTGGAGGCCAACGGTGGAGTGGCGTCGTCCATTTTTCACGAACTTCAGCACGCCTCTAGTAATACCTGGGTATGGAGCACATGGCGTAACGCTGTCAGCCGCGGTGTCCTCCAACGTCACACGTGTTTTCCACTGCACTGAGCATTCATTGGTCGCGTTTGATAGCTGCTTAACCATACGTCTAGGCTATTGAATTATTAATGTCATGGCATTGCAGGCAGCATACCTGCCAAAATACATAATTATCTTATTTTACAAGAACAAGTAGATAAATTATGCTTTTCTTTTAAAACGTCAACTTGTTTTCCTGTTGCATTCAAACATTTTATTCATTTTCCAAAGCGAGGGAAATGCTATCATTCCTCACTTGAACTACAGCAGCATACATGGACTGAGCCCCTGTCGTGTAGCAGTGTACATGCATGAGCTTTGCCGTGTACATGTCTTCTTCAAGACGCATGCTAAGCCCAGAACTTAACACAATTATTGCGGCCAAAGACAAAAAAGAGAATGCGGTATCAACCAATTCGCTGCCAAAATTCGGAACATTTGTTATAAGACTCTGCCACAGCTTCTTGCGTATGTTACTCAAACATGGTTTGTCAGTACAGGTCTAGAGCTAGCGCGCTTTAAGCGTGCGCAGGAGGCCGGTTGAATACCCTCCGCCAGGGTGGGGAGTGGTCACTTTGAAAACCTGATATCTCAAAAATCAAGATCGCTTATGACACAAAATACCCTGTATGTGAATCCGCTTGTCTCAAGGTTTGAGATTCCTAGGTCGTGACCTTCGCGTCAAATTATGTCAAACAAGGCCAGGCTCCAGATTGGTGTCCCCAGTCCTTATCATACAACTGTTGTGAACCTAGTTACCTGTTCTAAACAGAAGCCCTTTGGTGCTCATACGGGATCAGTGACCTTGTGTGACCTTCAGAAGGTCATGGTGACCAAAATCGCAAAGACTGGTTTGAAGAATAGACAAAAAGACATTTGAATAATCGTCAAGTGTTATGCGATGCGAAAATATTTACCTGTATCACTTTAGGTCAGTGACCTATTCTGACCTTAAGGAAGTTAGTTATAGATGCGAAATTGGGGCCCCGTTCTTCAAAAGCTCAAAATGAGCACCAGAAACTACCTCATGAAGCAAGCTCTACAGTAAAAAAACGGATTGGTTTTGTTTTTGGTCTTGGCCTTATTTCTGACACTAGGTAATTCGAATTGTTAACTGAACTATTACATTGCTTAAGAAACTAGCTCAGAGATAAAAGGGTTCGTCTAACACTCATTGGATTGGACGATGCCCTTGGCAGTGCCCTCGCTGAATCCATGGTCTGATTTTGGCCTGACAGAGATCAGCGACATTACAAGAAACATCTGAATTTTTATAGCAAAATATCGACTATTCCATTTTTAACAGTTATGCAAAACTGGTAGCGACTTCACCTCGTCGCTCGAAAATCATTTCGGAAATATCTTCGGGGTCAAACTGACAACCCGAGCGCGTGTTAACCCAACTGGGCCGGTAGTGTGTTGGAAAGCTGAAAGAAAGAGGGGCGAATTCAGAGAGCGTTTGATATTTGAAGATTTACCAATGAGCCCTGCCATTCCACTTTGCGACGACCGACCCGAAATTGAGCTTGGCCCCTCTACCAACTCATCGACTTCAGAAAGCTCACGTACTACTGAATGATAAATGATGGTGTTTCTTGACTTGGTAGTTTGGCGTGAAACGCGAGGAACAATCTTAAGGGTACCGATACGGGGGAGCTCCCACCCAATCAAGTAATATTCCCGCAGAGATCCGTTACACGGAGGTTGAGATAGGTTTCAAAATACGCGACTGAGAGCTGATTAATTATGAGGGCTCTGAGTATGCGGGACTCCAGCGCTACTAACACAGCAATGACAGTCAGCTATATGACAATGACAGTCAATGACAGCTATAAATGCAGTGGATAGTAAACATAAAGACCACCGATTAATACTGTTTGTCACGGAAGGTAAGCATGTG